GCAGCATTTAAGAAATCCTAACCATTCAGCATATTGGCATGCAGTGTGTCACTTTGTATATCTGATTGCAACTCGTGGAGAATTTTACATAAGGATCTCTATCATCTGGCTTCCATAAATGTAAGGAATTTTATTTATTTATTTTATTTACATTAGATTCACATTATTACAATAAATTATTTACATTTATTTGTTTACTAATCATGTCATCTTGAGGAACAGGAATATTCCATGGCCTGCCGGATCACCTAATCTGTCTGTGTGATTACTTCCTTTGGGAATATTTGAAATCACATCTTCTAAACAACACCACCACAGAACTTCCAGGACCTAAAAGAATGAATCTGGGAAGAGGTGGCTTGAATTCACATGGCATTTTAACTGATTTTTGTCACTAAAATTATATTAAAAATATATAAAATTTGATAAAACTTTGATAAAATTCTTAGTTATCTTTTGTACTTTTCCAACTGTTCATCCAAGGCAAAATGTTAAAAACAATAAACTGATATTAACAAACAGTAATGGTTTTAAAGTCTTTTTATTTTCTTTATTTTTCTTATACAGTATATGCATTTCAATCTTCCAATCCTCCTCAGTACATTCATAAAACAAAGTTTAGCAACTGTTGTTTTACAGCATATTATTTCCATGACAATCACTTTCTTGTTTCTGTGCCATCTATTCTTGATTTTTGTCACTTTTGCTTTTTGATTTTTGTCAATATTTGTGCTGACTCTGAGAAAACATCTGCATCTCATTAACAAATTTGCAGCTCTTTATTTAAGCACTTATTCACCTAAGTTTATTCTTTTTGCTCACAATATCATCTTTGTTTTTTTTTTGTCAGCTATCTTAAAGAAAAAGAAAAGATCACTGTCCTTTCATTCATTCACGCTACATTCTACACTATTCTGATTTTTAATTTTTAAATTTATCTAATAAAATTCTATCTTAAAAGTTCATTCCATCATCAGATTTAAGTAAATTAAAATAACTGTTCTTTTCCCAATTTTAGCATTTTAAAATATTTGTTTAAATATTTTAAATACTTAATACTGTCATTACAAAAAGTGAATGACACATCTAGGATTCTTCTTGATTTCTCAATAAATATAAAAAAAAACAATGCATATTTCCCATCATCATAAATAAAATGTTCACAGATTATCAACGGTGTTTGATCAGTTTATGAAAGTTGACTGCATTCAGTATCCTCTGGATAAAAGATTGAGTCCCTCTAGAATTATTTTTATTATACAATATTTTCAATAATAATAGCCAAAAGTTAAATTGTAAGAAAATTAGTTCAACTTAAATATTTAAAAAGATTTTATTGCATGCAAATTAGATTATAAGATCTTCACCATAAAAGAAAAAATACTCAATAAATTTTACAATCACATACATTTATTAAAATTAAAAATCTAACACTTTCGGTGTTTTGAGGTAGTCTCCCTTAACAATGATATAAAGTTACATCTTTTTAAACCAAAAAAATTAAAACAGGTAGTTCAATCTACTTTTGACACCATCTAAGAAAACATCTTGTTTGACATAAATCTTCAACTATGTCAAATTTGTGCCCTTTCATTATTAAATTTTTAATTTTTGGATATAGAAAAATCATATGGAGTTACATGACTAAATCTGGAGAGTACGGAAGATGTGAATTAACTGAATGCCAGACTCCTGTAAAAATTCCATTGTCTTTGCAATTGTATGGGTCCTGGCATTGTCATAGTGAAGCATAACTTTTCTTAAACCAGTTTTTGGTTGGCTCTTGGACATTGCAAAACCTTTTAGCAGATGTATTGAGACATACCAGTAAGCATTATTTTTTGATTTCCATATTCTCATGAAACCATTTTCCCAAAAAAGTGATAACTATTTGCTTTCAAGCATTCCGAGAATGACTTTTTCTTTTGAAAACAGTGAAGATAAAGAAAGTCTTTATATTTTTCAACATAAATTTACACCATTCCACATAGTCTTTCTTTTCTTTGTCTGTCAACTTCAGCATCTACCTGTCAACAAGTTCCATTAACCAAGGTGGCAAGGATGATTGTCAAGCCCTGTAGCTAGAGGGAGCTGGGAGAGGCTCAGTCATAACTAGAAAATTTTAACTCACTCCTGTCCATTGTTCCAAATGACAAAATTCTGTTTATTTACATTTTTTAGATAAATATATCATTTTTAATATTTAAATTTCAAATATTTTTGTACCATTTTGTATGTTCATTATTTAATATTATTATAATATACAGTCGACCCCCTATAATTACGGTCCCTATAATTACGATTCCTATAAAACTACGAAAAAATTGCTACCGGTATCCGTAAAAAATAGTAAAAGTTCCCTATAAACACCTCAAACGTCATCGGGAAGCCGAACTACTTTCCTGCCGTCCGTAGTGCCATGCTACGGAGAGATATCTATCGTCTGGACAGTATTATATAAATTATATATAAATTAGGTACTGTACATATAATTATATATTAATTATATATAAATTAGGTACTGTATATATAATTATATATTAACTTATTGTAACTTTGTTATAATTAAATATATAATTTCCGCCGTCTAGCGTGGCGCCACGCTACGGAGATTTTTACGCTAACTATCGTCTGTCAGTATGTAAATTAGGTACCGTAAGTCTAATACAGTACTGTAATTTTATACATTTCTTGTGAAAGAAACATTTCTTATTCAACGGCGATTAAAATTATTTATATTAATGATGTCTCCGAAGTTCAAGGAACTATTCGCAGAAAAATAAGTTATTAGAAATCGGCCGCTGTTTGCTGAGCTGTTCCGCGACGAAAACAATGTTGAGCAATGGCGATGTCGAATGGTGACACTCGGTAAGTAATCCTACAATTTTTTGTTTATAGCGTAGTTTATACGGATTATTCCCAAAAAATATATACGTATTTTGGAAATGTTGAGTCGGATTAGTCTAGAATCGATTAATTTTATGGAAGAAAATTTTTCAAACAGCCGTAGTCCGTAAACTTGACACGTGTCTGGTTGTGATTGGAAGGATTCGTAAGAAATCGGATTCCTAGAGAATGGAACGTATCTTATAGGGGGGTCGACTGTATAACACACCTGAATTCTACTTGCCGAGTTTTTTTTCTCTTTATTCAAACATTTTCAACCTATTTGGATCGGCCATCCTCAGGTTCTCCTTTATCGTTCCAAAATGGAACCATTCGTTCGAATTTTATTTGGATTTGAATTTTTGAAATAAGTTAACAACTTTTTGTATATTACATAAATAAACAAAATAAAATAAATAAATAAAATATGTCCCTATATGTGCTACAAAAATTAAATAACATATTTTTTCATGCGTCTAAATCATAATATAATAACTTCTTATAATCTCCAGTTCCTATTTTATGGATTATTGAAACCCATACATTTTTCTATTTTGTATTTCCATGCTGTTAGTAATGTACTTGCATCCTTTTCATTTAAACATCGGTTCCTCATTTTACTTTTGTATATGTCTATTTTTTCCATTTCCATCGCTATAGATGGTGAGTACACCATTCTTATGATCTTCGCTTCATCCCACTTAACTATTGCTCCGTCCGCTTGCGCCATGCTTGCCAATATCGTGCTATTAAGTCCTTTATTAACACTGTATTTGTGCTCTTTTACACGCACTGCAAGGTTTCTTCTGGTCACCCCTACATATTCTTTATTATAATACTTTAATATTATTATTTCAAAAAGTTTTCATGAGTAAGCTGCTGGATCTTTCCCTGGGGTACTCCAGAACTCCCAGGCCCTGATAAGACCAACCCATAATTTGCTAGAGCCATCCCTACTATTGCTGATGGTTCTGCTGATTTTTCCTGATAAGAACTTCAATGTTTCCTTTATCCCTTCATACATTATTTGACAATCTCCTCTAATTAATTGTCTCACTTCTTTGACCTACTCAGTGAATGATGTCAATGAATGTACTGTACATATAAATGACCAGGTCTGGTATCATCTTTCAAATAGGTTTTGCCTCCTCTTAAATTTGTGAAACAGTTACAAATGGTAAAGGTGCCACATTCCCAAAAGCTTGTTTCAAGTGTTCAATTGATTCTTTGAGAAATAACTTCAACATAAAGAATAAGTATGAAATGTTCATATATGAGCTTCATGGCAGTTACTTAAGAACTAGTGGAAAGTGTCAGCTTCATAAGAGCCAACTAGCAACCACAATGCTTCTAGCTTCTGTATGGAACTTTTCCAGTAGGAGTAGAAAATGTAGATTTATGTTATTAATCTTCAGTCATATATGCAGATATATCCAGCTGTAAAAATTTATTGAGAGACCTCAGTTGTATCTTTCCTGATTATGAGGATTTAAATTGTTATAATATTTCTTAATAGATCCCAATTTAATTTAGTCACTTCCATACCAACAACAATCTAACATTTATGAACGAAGTAAATTAAGTGAAGAAACACATATTTGTCCTTGATATTTGTTGCAGAGAAAAGAATTTAATAAGTACTGTTAATAATTAATAACTAAATTTATATTCTTAAACAGCAATCAGATACTTCACATATTTATATACCATAATAAAACATTATAATGTACTAAATTGGTAATAAATTATGTAATCACTTATCTTCTTAGAATATGCACTTATCTCATTTAGTTGTCTGTTGCCAACATAATCTAATTTATAAATTCTAATCTAATCACCTGATTTACAATTTTGCTTTAAAAAGCAAAATTAATAAATCAAGTGATCAGCTTAAAATTTTGTAAAATGTAACAATTGAAATGATCCAAATGAATAAGAATTGTCTACAAAAGTTTTATTTTGTAAAATCTAAAATTTTATGAAGAATATTTTATAATTATTGGATATATTTTACAAATCACAATAAAAAGATAAGTAGGCCAAATTAACAAATGTAGTAAATTAATGACTAGTTTTTTTTTTTTTTTTTACTAAAAATCAACTAAAACACTTACTATTTTCAATTGTAGGTTCATAGACATCTACAAATCTGCCTTCAACAAACTGTATAGTAAGTGATGATTTTCCTAAAAATTGAAATAAATAAATTTTGAAAATCAATAACTGAAGAATTATATATGTAGTTTTTTGATTATTCATAAGCAACAAAATTAGCTAAATAATATAATCTAATCAATATCTGCAAAATAAAGATTTATAAGATAATTATTACGGCACATTTAAAAAGCACATGACAGTGGAAATCATATACTGTTTAATCAATGTCACAATACATATATATCAAACCAATAAAGAAACTAACAAATTGACACTAAACTAGTTCAACTGATAAATAAAACTTTGCAAATGATATTAAGAAATGAAACTATTATAGAATTTTTATGTGAAATGCATTGAAAATGATAATGTATTAACTTATTGAACATTTCATAATTAAAATTGAAATATTAGTTTTTTACATTAAATATACACCATATAATTTAGTCATATCAAATAAACCAATATATTCTTAACAAACATTTTTTAATTCATTTAAATTACTTTTAATCGATTAATTTTTTATAAAGCTCAATTGACAATCTCTTTCAATTATTTATTTTTTTTTGAATTTTTTAAACAAATAATTTTGTAAAAGCTTTGATTTAATATTTTTAATATTAAACCAATAGGTCAGTTAACTTAGCTGCTGGTTTAATATTATAAAAACAAATATATTTCTTTTCTTTCCTCATTTTAATCTTTTGGCATACTGACAATAAACATTATATTAGTAAAGCTTATCTTAGGATTCAATGATTGATTATTATCTACTGATGAATTCAAGTGAAGATAAAATGTGAATGAGATGAATAAATATATTACTGTAAAAACTATATGCTTGCTAGTATTTTTTGCTCTATATATTCAATGAATTGTAAAATAAATACTTGAGCCAATGTTATTGAAAAAAATTAAAATTTTAATGAGATAATATAAAACAAATTACAAAAATTGTTTATGCAAACATTTTCACTTGATTAATCAAGATTCTTCCAGGCAATGGAACAAGGATTCAAAATAAAACATTTTTAAATATCAATGAAATGAAACATATTTTTAATTATTAATAAATATGTTCTTACCAGAAAAATACTTCTGGTAAAAAATTATATAATTAGAATTTATATTAAATGAAATTAAGGAAATATGAAAAGGGAGAGAAAAAAATGTTTCCAAATACCACTGGTTTGTTGACATTCATATTGCACAACTCTTGGATAAGAATTTCCAATAAAGTATTTTTTTATGATATGAACTGATGAGTTGGATATGATCCATGTTTGGGAATAACCTTCCATTACCACTATCTTTGCTAATTTTGTTGTAAGTCTGTTGTTTTATATATTGCCCTTATGTTCTATAATTCTTTTATATAATGTGTGAGTTGTAACACCAATGTAAAAGGTGGTGTTTGCATCAGATCTTAAAAGATTTTTATATATACTATGTTTTGTAAAAACATTAGAGGGTTCTCTGTCATGCAAAGAAGTGTACATAATGATGATAAAGCACTTGTGACAATATTTAAAAAACTTTTTGGCATGTCTTGCTATTTTATCTAAACAGCTTCTAAAGACAGGTAAAGAATAGGGAAAGAACTTGACATTTTACAGTGAAGTGAGGAGACAGAAATTATGAAAAAGGCTATTTCTCAACTTGTTAAGAAGATAATTGAACTTGCTTAAAAAAAATTCATCCAATTGTGGAATTGTTGCTACAATGAGTATAGACTAAATATAAGTGGAAGACTAGCAGTGTTTTTGTAAGTCCCATATTGAAAAAAGTTGACAGATGGTATTTATGTTAGTGCAAATGGTTTGTGAAAGACTTCAAGTGAAAGATCGTCTAGTGTTCAAGTTATTCTTAGGTTTAGGAAGCTGATGAACTCATTGTCTTCATGCTGTACTATAAATTTTATTTTATTAAAGATTAAATTGATGTAGGCAATTAGACAATCTTTGAATTATTTCTCTCCTACATCAATTCACATTCAAATAAAATGAGGAATTTTTTATTAACATCGTCCCAATGTCGGGCTGAAATTTTTAATTATCTTTTTAATTTATTTAATTTAAAATATATGCTCTCCACCTCAAATTAGTACTGTAGTGGCTTGACCCTGTACATCATACTTTTCTGTTAGCAATGGTGTTGTGCCAGTCATCTATCTAACTCCTTTCAGGGGAAAATTTTTAAATTGAAATAACATGACTTCTGGTTTGTATCAGAAGTTCATATATAGTTAATCAGGACCTCCTGCCCCTAAGGTTTCCATATTTGGTCTTGTCTTTCATCTATCTAACTCCATTCTCGAGGTTAAGGAAAGACAGACAGACAAACAGATGACAGTAGGAATTTATAGATCTACAATTTTTTTTCAAATTGCAGCCCAAAAAGAAATCTTTATACAATTTTATATTATTATTTTAAAAACTAACATTTTGTTTCTTATTAAAATTAAGAACTTTAAAATATTACATGACTTGGAAACTGTCTTTGAACTTGATAGTAAATATGCTACAAATATTAACAAAAGTAACTAAAGATTAAATCATATGCCTCTATGCCCTTATAGTATAGTATTTAAAATGTCTACTCTGACTTATTTTATTAACAAGACATATTATACCAATGTCTTTGTTCAGCAAAAGTTAAGAAAGCTTATCGGAGAAAACAAACAGTCTTTATTTTTCACCTGTACACTTTATACACAATATTGTGTTTCAGAATATTTTACCCCTCATCAGCAGGTCTACATTCAATATTTTCTAAAACAAATCATTAAAATCAATATAAATTTATAAAATCCCAACAATAAAAACCTATTACATTACTTACAGTTTTTCAATTTTTAAACATTTTGAAAATCAGAATTACAGAGCTACTTTTATTATATTTCTTAGATTCCTATATAATAGCAATAAACATAAGTTACATTATTAAGTATTTTTTAAACATATTTACAACTTACATATCATATTCCAATTTTCACTTGAACTATTAACCTTTTACTACAGTAGATACTCTCTCTTATATCTCCTGTCATTCCTTCTGTTGATGATTTTACTCTATAATTGGTGGATTTCTCTTCCCACATTGTTGTTCATTCTGTTCTGTTGTCTCGCTAGGTAAATGTGTTCATATAATTGCTTTTTGAAATTATTATTATTTTTTTTTTATTTAAATGTGTTAGGTAAAAGGTTAAGTGCAAGGTNTATAATTAGAATTTATATTAAATGAAATTAAGGAAATATGAAAAGGGAGAGAAAAAAATGTTTCCAAATACCACTGGTTTGTTGACATTCATATTGCACAACTCTTGGATAAGAATTTCCAATAAAGTATTTTTTTATGATATGAACTGATGAGTTGGATATGATCCATGTTTGGGAATAACCTTCCATTACCACTATCTTTGCTAATTTTGTTGTAAGTCTGTTGTTTTATATATTGCCCTTATGTTCTATAATTCTTTTATATAATGTGTGAGTTGTAACACCAATGTAAAAGGTGGTGTTTGCATCAGATCTTAAAAGATTTTTATATATACTATGTTTTGTAAAAACATTAGAGGGTTCTCTGTCATGCAAAGAAGTGTACATAATGATGATAAAGCACTTGTGACAATATTTAAAAAACTTTTTGGCATGTCTTGCTATTTTATCTAAACAGCTTCTAAAGACAGGTAAAGAATAGGGAAAGAACTTGACATTTTACAGTGAAGTGAGGAGACAGAAATTATGAAAAAGGCTATTTCTCAACTTGTTAAGAAGATAATTGAACTTGCTTAAAAAAAATTCATCCAATTGTGGAATTGTTGCTACAATGAGTATAGACTAAATATAAGTGGAAGACTAGCAGTGTTTTTGTAAGTCCCATATTGAAAAAAGTTGACAGATGGTATTTATGTTAGTGCAAATGGTTTGTGAAAGACTTCAAGTGAAAGATCGTCTAGTGTTCAAGTTATTCTTAGGTTTAGGAAGCTGATGAACTCATTGTCTTCATGCTGTACTATAAATTTTATTTTATTAAAGATTAAATTGATGTAGGCAATTAGACAATCTTTGAATTATTTCTCTCCTACATCAATTCACATTCAAATAAAATGAGGAATTTTTTATTAACATCGTCCCAATGTCGGGCTGAAATTTTTAATTATCTTTTTAATTTATTTAATTTAAAATATATGCTCTCCACCTCAAATTAGTACTGTAGTGGCTTGACCCTGTACATCATACTTTTCTGTTAGCAATGGTGTTGTGCCAGTCATCTATCTAACTCCTTTCAGGGGAAAATTTTTAAATTGAAATAACATGACTTCTGGTTTGTATCAGAAGTTCATATATAGTTAATCAGGACCTCCTGCCCCTAAGGTTTCCATATTTGGTCTTGTCTTTCATCTATCTAACTCCATTCTCGAGGTTAAGGAAAGACAGACAGACAAACAGATGACAGTAGGAATTTATAGATCTACAATTTTTTTTCAAATTGCAGCCCAAAAAGAAATCTTTATACAATTTTATATTATTATTTTAAAAACTAACATTTTGTTTCTTATTAAAATTAAGAACTTTAAAATATTACATGACTTGGAAACTGTCTTTGAACTTGATAGTAAATATGCTACAAATATTAACAAAAGTAACTAAAGATTAAATCATATGCCTCTATGCCCTTATAGTATAGTATTTAAAATGTCTACTCTGACTTATTTTATTAACAAGACATATTATACCAATGTCTTTGTTCAGCAAAAGTTAAGAAAGCTTATCGGAGAAAACAAACAGTCTTTATTTTTCACCTGTACACTTTATACACAATATTGTGTTTCAGAATATTTTACCCCTCATCAGCAGGTCTACATTCAATATTTTCTAAAACAAATCATTAAAATCAATATAAATTTATAAAATCCCAACAATAAAAACCTATTACATTACTTACAGTTTTTCAATTTTTAAACATTTTGAAAATCAGAATTACAGAGCTACTTTTATTATATTTCTTAGATTCCTATATAATAGCAATAAACATAAGTTACATTATTAAGTATTTTTTAAACATATTTACAACTTACATATCATATTCCAATTTTCACTTGAACTATTAACCTTTTACTACAGTAGATACTCTCTCTTATATCTCCTGTCATTCCTTCTGTTGATGATTTTACTCTATAATTGGTGGATTTCTCTTCCCACATTGTTGTTCATTCTGTTCTGTTGTCTCGCTAGGTAAATGTGTTCATATAATTGCTTTTTGAAATTATTATTATTTTTTTTTTATTTTTATTTTTACAGTACTCAAATCTATTTCACACCCAGTCGTATTACAGTGTTCTGCTACTGCTAAATTTGCATAATTATTTTTAATCGCTGAAATATGTTCTTTTACATGTATTTTCAATTTTCTTTTTGTTTCTCCTATATATGTTTTCTTTTGTTCATAATTACAATTAAATGAATATACTAATAAAATAAAATAATAAAATAAGTCAGAGTAGACATTTTAAATACTATAACTAAAGATTAAATGAAGTATAAGTAGAACAGAAAAAAGAAATTCCAAATATGTTCATTTTTAAAGCTTAAATCAAAATTCTGTTGATTAATTCATATCAATTTCAATGCTTATTTAGATAAAAAGTAGAATACAAAATTTTCACCAATGTTAAACTACATTCAATAAAGTTGCTACAGTTTTGCCTTTATATACCTAGTAATTAATTAACTTTTCAGAATTTGTAACTTTATTTTGAGTAAACAAATTTTAAACTTTTTTTTACTAATATTTTTTCATTCAATCTTCAAAATTTACAAAAGATATAACTTTACATAGGCCGAATTGTTAAAAATTAGAAAACAGTAAAAATATAATATTAATAGTCATTGTTAATTATTGATATTAATATCCTAATATTATAAAAGCAGACTAGATCCAAGATTTAATAGCTTTATTAAACCAATTATGAATTAATATAACTATTGAATACTTAAGCTGACTTTAATAAACTTTAATCAATTTTTTATTGTGATTTTATTATATAAATATATAACACACAAATCAAGCAATAATGATCTAAGAATATTTATACAAGATGAAATGGAATTGTGTCATCTTAGAACTAAATTAGCATAACAATTTTTTTCCTAATATAAAAATTCAATCAGATGATGTATACAAGTTACAAAAGATCAGATAAAATAAGGAAGACTTCTGCCACATATACCACAGATCATGTTATGATATGATTAACCACCTGATTTATGTCCATCATACTACCAAATTTAATTTAATAAGTAGAATGGATATTACATCATCATTGATCTTACCTAACGTATTCATAATTATCTGATTCATAATTATCTGATTTTTGTTGAGAAAGTTATTAACCTAGTTTTAATCTATGCTACAAAATGGCATCTCTCAATATATTTCTTTATAGAAAACTATTTTATTAGTACCTGTTTCAAGTTTAACATGTAATAATGTAAATTTGTATATGGAAAAGTTAATAATTTTCTTTACATAAGTATATCCAATTTAGTATTGCATAATCATTAGTTAATAAAAAAAATTAAACTTGTGTTTATAAATTTGGAAGAAAGTATTATTGTTTATATGTTCAATCATGGTTACTTTTGCAGGTATTTGTGTGCATATAGTGAAGAAAATAATCTAAAACACACCAAAAATAAGAAAAAAAAAATTAAAAACTAATTCATATTGCTGAAAGAAATATAATAATGAATTCTCCAAACCAAAAATACCAAGTTTTAATTTAAATTTGTAAATTTTTTAAATGTTTTTATTAAGTTACATAACTTTAAATATTTGTTTATATACAGATTAGTGTGTATATATATATGAATTTACATTAGGCCTAACTAATTTGGTTAAAGTTATGGGATATTTTTGTTTCTTACCTACTGATCTAAAACCCATAATGGCGAGTTTTCTTTGTTTTGGTGGCATCTTTGTTATTCAATTACACATCAGATAAATAAAATTGAAAGAAAACAAAAATTATTTTAACCAAATTTCATTTCCTTGATCACAATAACCACGTGATCGAGACTAATGTACCCTGGTGGTAAAATATGATACTAATTTACTGATATTAAATTCTTTAAAATATAAATAAATAAAAGTTATAATTACGTTTTTTTTTTTAAGTTAGAAAATAATATTTCTTAATAAAATATATTCGAGCGATTTTATTAAAATAATTCCAAATTTTGTTAATGTATATAACGGGTAATTGTATAAAGACATATTGAAAAATGTTAATCTTTATCGCGGTGTAAGAGTACAGGTGATATCCAAGGTCTTAGATTATCAGGTTGCCTCATAGAGAAGAAACGCTTCTCATTGGTTGCTTATTTGACGTCACTCGTAGTCGAAAACGAAACATCTTACTATGTCCTTATGGTAGAAACGTTACCGATCAGAGGCTCGTAGCTTTAATTACACGCTAATATTTTATTAATTACGATACTTACTTAATTAAATAAAAATAAAAATTGATTATAAATAAGAAAAATCCGGAATATTGAGCAAATCTTCGTAATTTTTACGTGTAAAGTTGAAGTTAAAATGAGTTTTTCTACTTTGTAAATGAAATCTATTTTATCTATTTTATGATTTTATAACAACAATAGTTTCTTAAAACGATTAATTTTGGTAAATCCTACGTAGGTGATTTATATATAAGTAAATTAATTTAATTTCTATCGTCAAACTGTTATATATTTTTTTTTGAACTAAAAATAATATTGGTCTATTTTTCAATTTTTAATACTCGTGTACCGAAAACGATATTATTGATATTAATATATACAAATTAAGTTTCAAAAGAACAATTTTTTATGTTATAAACACATTTTTGATGTCAATATGTACAAATTAAATGCTACATAAAAACAATTAATTAAATCAGGTACAAACTTTTTTTAATTTTCTATTGTTATTACAATTTACTTTTCTTTTCACAGCGAAACGATCATGTTTAATTAAATTATTCAAAAATTTCAATCTAATCCATACACGTTGCTTTACGTATGTGTATATAATGTCTTCTGGCAAGTTAATTGTCTGTTTAATTAATGATGTAATAGATGAAACCGTTTTACATTTCAAATGCAGTTTAACAGTTTTTGTAAAAATTGATTCCATTTTTTTAACTAAATTAAAGAAATCTTCTGATGGTTGTGACAGTCCACCAAAAGATAAATCCTGAACAAGGGACATCATTGTATAACTATGTTCATTTTTATTTTGGTGACTGACACTTCCTAAATTTGGATATTTTTTTTTTATTTTCTTGCAATCCACCCTGCTAAATATTGTAATCCATCATTTTTTAATTCATCTAATTCATCATTTTTTAATTCTACATTTTCCTGAGATATATCACATAAATCATCATCATTTACATTGCATGAATTTTCAGATATTCCTTGTTCTTTAGAACTAGACATATCTGAAACTTCTTGCAGTAAATCTGCCTCTTCAAACATTTCATTTATTAAATAATTTTCAGCTATCTGATCTTCTGTGTTTAATTTATTTTGCAATATTCCTGGTGATTTGCCTAAAATTATCATTCTTACTCTATATATTACTTCAAGTGGACTAGGATGATCATTTAAACCACCTCTAGTTCGAATCTGTGAAAATAGATTTTCTAAAGAATCCTGATTTACTTTACATGTTAAGATATAATGGTATTTAGGAAATTTTGAACTAAGGTCGAAAAATAAATCTTTAATAGATTTAATAGATATAAGCATTCCTTTTTGAAATGTTTGAAGTGATTTTTTAGATACACATCTCATACTTTCAATTATTCTGTAAGTATTATCAAGTATATTATTTTGTTCTGTTATGTTAATGCCATAAGCACATTTGGAGGGATAATCAATTTTGTAATGAAAATTGGGTGTTGAACTATTCATAACATCAAACCATGCATTAATTGATGATATAAATTCAGAAGCTGCTAAGGCATTTTCAGTTTTAATATATCTTTTAATAGCAACAGCTGTAGAATTAGAAAATAATTCACAAGCTAACCTAACATTTTGTCGTTGAAATTTCTGACATGTAATATGCTCTTCTTTTAATTTATGGCAAACTTTTATTTCATTGGAATCTATTTGAAGTAACTGTTGTAATGAGTCTTTGTTTATTAATGTATGATCTGAAGTTAGAAAACCTGTATCTAAAAACCAATTTCTAATGAGTTTTAACAAATGAGGTGCATCTGGAAAATAGTATATATTATTTCCATTAGATGGATGTATAAATTTAGTATTGAATATATTTATCCCTAATTCCTTCCATAATCCTATATTTTGTCCACCGCAGTCACTAACAACAGCAACAACAGTATATCCTGCATCAAAAAGTTTTGAAATAACAGTAAATAAAAGTTGTTTTTTCATTTTAACATCAAAATCCATGTAAACTGGTTGTTTCCATGATGCAAATAGTCCTCTTGCCATCATTACTAAAACTTGATTATTGGGTCCAATAACTTTATCCCTCACTTTATCATATTCATATATATGCTTTACCTGAAATATCAGTAAAATGTTAAAACAGAAAATTAAAATAATTATTGAATTATGTGGTTTTATCAATATGAGTACAGTATATACAGTATTTACCTTCATCTCATCAAACTGAAGAACTGTAAGTTTTTCTTCTTCTGAAAGTTCAAAGCCTTTAATTTTCATGATGTTTATAACATCATTTAATATGCCTTGACAAAGATTTATTTTTGAAGCCCATCGTTGAAGTGTCGAAACTGCAGGTAACGGGATATTCATTTGATTTCTTAAGTATAAATATGATCTTATGCTTAAATATCTCAAAGTAAATGCCAAATTCATATCTTCTTTCTTCCATTTAATTTTCTTTTTTCTCTCCAGCAGATTATATATTTGTGTTTCTGTAAAGGTACCTTTCAATATTGATATAACAAAATCTTTTTTATTTTTTTCATTTATTTTTTTCAATTTTTCATGTTCTTTTTGAAGGATGACAGTTTTACTTTTCCAAAATTTCAGATCTCTTTGGATTGCTTGCATTCTTATCTCAATATGTTTAATCTTCATATTTAAAATAGAATTTTCATGTTTTAATTTAAAATTAAGATCTTCTAAAGTTTTACAATTGTTACATTTGTTAAAAGATTCTTCTCCTTTATCCTGTTTATTTACATCTAAAAGTTTTTCTATCAGGTTTTTTCTATTTCTTTTTAATACACTATTCTTTCTTTCATTTGACTGCTTAATATTTTTATTTTCTATGTTTCCTAAATTTACTGTTGGTAGTGAAGCTTTCTTTAGTTTAGGTCTTGCCAATAAACCTAATAATTCAGCTTTTAAATTTCTTTCAAAATCATTTTCTGTGAAATGATCAGAGCAAACATGACAAGAATCAGGATTAAATTTGTCTTTTCTTTTACAGTTATGGATCCATTTTCTTCTTATTATTGGATCTTTAGGAAATCTAAAATAACTGACTTTCCTGTCTAATGACTTTTGTTTTACAATGGCTGTTATCACAATTTGCAACAGCACATGTTGCTCCTGGCATCTAAAAATAATAATAATAAAATTTAGGTATTTGCGTAAATATGCATATTTTAAAAAGTTATATTAATTAATAATAAACAATATTCTTTTACATCGCAGGTTATCTTAAGTGTTACCATCCTGTTACCGGCCAGCTTATTATTTGTAGTCGTCATTTCACTGAGCAGATACTATTTTTATACATGCAGAAAACTATTCTTAGTATTTTAAAGTATTTTATTAATAAATATATTTTATCCGTAACCATATTCTGTAATTTCTACAGAACGAAGAGTAAAGACTACAACAGAATATCAAACTGTTCTAGGAACACTTTTGTTACTTCCGAACAATTTTTATCGATATAATTATCAACATAATTATGTTTAATAATAGCAATAAGTATAGATATATTTACCTTCGAAGATTATGAGTCTAAAAACGCTCGACAAATTAAAAAAAAATAGTTAAATTCCAAAATTTCCTTCCCTCGCTTACAGTAGTGAAGCAGTCGCTAGACCTTGGGCTCGACTACGGATGACGTATATCCGGAATCTGGCAGGAAGTGGCTAAATCGGCTGTATGAGGCAACCTTATAAATCTAAGACCTTGGGTGATATCACACTCCATTCAAGGACGTTGAGATTACTCGAGTGTCCACCAGATGTCGTGACAATCTACAAGTCTAATATTTACCATTAACATTAGCAACAATCGCTAATTGAACTTTAATTTGTGTTAATTTCAATAAAAATTTGTGAAATTTATATAAAATAATTTAAAAGTAATAAAATATGTTTATAATTTTTAAAAAATCTTCATTAAACGGACATTTTTATACTCTAAAAAAGATTAAAATATATATTACTTTAGCTATTACAGGTTGCGGCCGAACTTTTAATATTAAATATATCTCAATTATTAAATGTAATTTAAACTCATAAACTATCGATTGCTTTTTAATTTCGTCCACGTAAAAGTTTTGTAACGTAGTTTAATGCAACCGAGGAAACATTAGAATAATCTGAAATGCATTTTGCAAGAAAAATATCGTGAAATTTGCAATGTTAATTCTTGGCGGTCAACATGTCCACGCGTTTATTTACGAAAAGTTTGTAACCGGATTTCCTACGGACAACAGAGAGGTTACGGCCGAAGTTTTCATCTCTCAAACGTGAACGTCGAACGTCGAGCGCCGCTATCTTGTAAGCGGCGCTCAACGTTCTGCGTTCACGTTTGACAGATGAAAACTTCGGCCACAACCGGCTAACTTTCCGGAAACGTTGAACCGACAAATATTTAAATTTTCTGTAAGACACGCTTTTCGAAAACAGTTTATTTTTGCAATTAAATTGTATAATTCTTTAATTGCTGTACTTGTTTTCGTAGTCTGATGCATCACGAAAATTTCGATTTGATGTTTAAATTTGAAGAGGAATAGTGTATTCGTGGCTCGTTAGCTCAGTCGGTTAGACCGTCGTGCTAATGACGCGA